ATCTGTTTCCCCCACTAGCCTAGCCAGAAGGCAAGGATCCACACCTCACTGTCCTGTGTCTCCCGAGGGCTGATTGTAGCTAACTGAAAAGACCATGTGGGGACGGGACAGTGGGGACCAGTCGAAGCATCTCCTCTCTCCCTCTGTCTCCTCCTTCTCGCCCCCAGGTGTGGACAGCTCTGTGTTTGAGCCTCTGCCCAAGCCCTTGGATGTGGCCGAGCTGCCCCACTGCGGGCAGGCAGGGGCCCAAGGCAAGCCCTGCTCCTGCCGCTACAGCCTGAGCCTAGCCTGGTACCCCTGCATGCTCAAGTACTGCCACAGCCGCGACAGGCCGGCGCCCTACAAGTGTGGCATCCGCAGCTGCCAGAAGAGCTACAGCTTCGACTTCCACGTGCCCTACAGGCAGCTATGCCTCTGGGATGAGGAGCCCTAGCCAGCTGGGCGGTGGGGGAGCAGCCGGGCCCCAGGTGGCTGCTCGGAGCCCCCTGCTTCTCCTCCACAGGCTAGAAGGAACAGCAGCCCCCAGCTGAAGCCTTACTGCCCCTCCCGTGATCCTCTCCCGCTCCCCAACTCCTGACGCCTCTGGCCCTGTCACTCACGAGTGTGAAAAGGGGTGTGACACGGCAGGGGTTCACTCATGAAGGCTACCCTACTCCCACCCCTGTGCCTTCCTTGGGGGCAGAGAGGGAGGAAGGGGTTCCTCAAACGGCACCCCTCCCCTCCTTCATCACCCCTAAAAATGTTCACTTTCAAGCAACAAAAATGTGATGGCCTATGCAGTTATTTAACTCTTCAACGACTAGACCCTGAAAGGAGTCAGTGCCTGCAATCCCCCCGTCCCCCCCCCCCCCCCACCCCACCCCCCGCCTCCAAGCAACTTATGCTTCTGGAAGGAAATGGGGGTCCTCTGTGGTTCTCTACTCCCCAATGCCCCAGACCATGCCTCCCGGAGGAGGCTGGCGGGGCAGATGTCACAGCCTCTCGTGCAGATTCAAAGCATTCTTCTCATTTCTGGCCTCTGAGGCCACCCTGGGCCGGGGGAGACCACCCACCACCCCACCCACCACCGAACCCCTCTGACCACATGTGCCTTATCCAGACGCGGACTTGCTGCCAGCGTCCGTGCCAGCCACCACCACCCCCGCCCCAAAACAGAAGTATTTTTGTAGGGTTCTGGGGTGGGGAGGGAGCATGAAGTACAAGTAAAACTTGAATTCCAGATTTTTAATGCAAAGTATTTATCATTTGTACCAGAAATAAAAGTTTGCGTTTGTACGTGGCTGGCAGCGCGGGAGAGTTTTCTGGCCAATGCTGCCACCTGGTGGGCGTGCTGACGTGTGTCCGTGCTTGGCCCGAGCTGGTCCTGCAGCCTGGGCTCCAGTGCTTCCAGGGCTTGGGGTGGGGGGGTGCCTGGGGGAGGGTGGACAAGAGCTGCTCAGAACGTCCGTGAAACCACACACAGAAAGCCTGAAGTGAGCGGTCAGGCTGAGACTCTAGAACCAGACGTCCAGGGTTCCAGTCTGGGCCCTGCCACGGCGTCACTTCTGTTTGGCCCTCATAGTGGAGGGAGAGTGCCTGCAAGCCTGTCCGCCCACTTTGAGTGTTCGTGGGGTTGGCTGTTGTTATGGACAGTGTGATGTGGTGAGAAGGGGGCGATTCCTCCTCTACAGACCGGAGACAAAGCCATCCGACATTGTGAGGAGCCAGCCCTGGTGATGCCTGGGCTTCTGGGAAAGGCCGTGCACGCCCGCCTGGGGTGGGCAAGGTTTCCTGGAAGAGATGGAGCCTGGGTTGACCTTGACGGAGGGTGGGAATTTGCTGAGGGGGAGGGAACCACCTGAGCACAGGGTGCTTCGGTCCCTGAGAAAGCTTGTCAGTGGGGAGGAGACAGGAAGAGCCAGTCATCCTTCCTCAAGGCCTTGGACCTGCCTGCCCTGTAAGCCCCTTATTCTATACCCTTCCCCCTGTGGAATAGGCTGCTGCTGCCCGGAGCCCTGCATAGCCCGGGGTTGTAGTGGGAGCCAGGCTTGCTGGCCATGGTCAGGTTGGGGAGTTGAAGGTTTTGGGGGGGTGGACATGCCTTCTGAGTCAGTTCCAGGTGCCAGCCTCAGGCCCGTGGGGGCAGTGGTCACTCCCAGACCCTTTCCTCCATCTCCTGCCTGGTCTCAGGTCTCCGTCCAGCGCAGCGCTCCAACTCCTGCTCAGGTTGGGAGGGACGATGGAGAAGGCATCGCGGACCCTTGACTTGTGCCTCTGCACTTCCTAACAGAGCGTTTGCCTGGGACAGCTCGCACCTCCAAGCCAGAACACCACCGTTACTGCAGGCGCTCTGGGCCCTGAGGCATGGTGACAATGAACATATCCTGGGACGCTGGGCAGAGCCACTGTGTCTCCAGTGGCAGGGTCTCTGCTGAGTAAAAGTCCACCATTCCAAGCAGCCCTTCCCAACCCTCTCCATCAGCTGCCTCAGACCCCACCACGGTGGCCCCTTCTTGGCAGAGCTCGCCCTTCTCCGGGCGCCTCGGTGTCACCAAGCACTTGTTACAATGGGGGTGGGGCGGGGCGGCCAGCTGGTGGTAACTTCTCGATGAGCCTCGGTGGCCACGTGGGCAAACACCGGGAAGAGGACTGAGACTCGGTACTGGCGGTTTACAAAATTAGTCCACCAGCAGATGCGGCTCACCTATGAAACCATGTGGCTTGCCCCTGGTCAGACAGTTAAAACAAAGCTGGGATCCAACCCTAATTTTTTTTTTTAACCACAAGCACAACTTCTAACCCAAAATAACCCTTGGCCTGCTGGAGCACAGCTCCCCCAGTGGGAAGGAAGTGGGGGTCTCTGGGTGGGGCTGGTCGCTGCCTATGGGTGGGAAGTGTGCTCTAAGCTCTCCTGGACTAGTGTTGGCAGAAACACATTCCCGATGAAACCCTTCTACCGCCACTCCAGAAGCTCAGACCTCCTTGGTGCCACCTCAAGCCAGAGGGTAAGGGCGGTCCTTGATGGGGACTTCTCAAAGGCTCACTCCACGCCACCTTCCTGCAGGCATGTTAGCCAAGAGGACTGTTGGGGTTGGCACAGAGGAAGCTGGAGCCCAGGAGCTTCATGAAGCCTGGGTATGGAAGATGGAGCCAAGAAGTAGTTGCGCAAAACATGACATATGAGCCACTCAAGAACCAAAACTTGGGGCTAAGAATGGCCGGGCCCCAGCTCTGTGATTGTGAAGGGGTGGGAGTGGGGGAGGGGGGGAGGGGGGCTGTGTGTGACACCCCCCATGGGGTCTCATCTGCTAGGAGACAGGACCTCACTAGGTTTCATCAAGATCTTCCTCATTTCTGGCATGCCACTGTTTTTCTGTTTGTTTGTTTGTTTGTTTGTTTAATTTATCTATCTCACTTCTGGTGGACGACTGGGTGGTTTGCTGGAATGGGTGCTTACAAGCCAGGCTGCAGGTGGGGACGTAGGCACCTGAAATGGCTATGTCACAGGCCCATGCCCTTCAGTGGACACTGTCAAAATGCCCACCAAATGGGCTCTTGCTCTTTACCCACACTCAGTATACGAAAGCCCCTGCTCCCCAACATTCCCGCCGTCACGTGATACCAGAAACTGTGGCCAGGTGGTGGCTGAGAAGCATCGTCCTCGTCTAGGGTTTATGTGCTCGCAGCAGCTCGCAGCGGGAGCCAGCGAGCAGGTAGACTGACTGTTCTATCACTTGTCTCCTCCCCCCGCCCCATCCCTACCCTTCATTCTCCTCTTCCTCTGCGCTGCTCTGGTGGCCATCACCTGGGCTCCCTCACCCTCTCATTGGCACCAGTCAATGAGAAAAGACCAGCCAATGGAGGGCAGCCTGAGAGAGTCCAGGGTATGTGGTCCCAGCTCCACCTGTGTGGTGGAGGCTCTTCTGCAGAGGCCCCAGCTCTCACTGACCTTGGGAGACTAGTTCCTCCTGTTGCTCTTTCAGGCCTAGGAGGGGCACCCACTACTCTTTGGGGGCTCCCTTAACCCTGCTGACACCCTGCAAGTAAGCCAGGCCTTCATCAACAACCCTCTGAGGGAGCCTTGGTGGCGGAATGGGTAATGCATTGGTCTGCTTACTACAAGGCCAGCAGTTCAAAACCACCAGCTGCTCCGTGGGCAACAGGTCTTGCTACCCCTGTAAAGCCCTCCAGGGTTGCTGTCAGTCAGAACTGACTGGATGTCGGTGTGTTTTTTAAATTGAGTTGATTGTTCTCCTATGGAGACCCTAGTGGAGACAGACCACAGTGGCCCCAGCCTGGGGTGGGTGTTGGGTAGGCAGAGGAATGGACAGTGGAGGAGAAGCAGGGTGAAGTGAGCTAATGAAGACAGGGCTACAGGGGACTTAGAACTGAGCAAGAGAAAGAAGGGGTAACAAGTAACCCCAGGACGCAGGCCCAGTGGAGCTGCACTGTGGGTCCTGGCCACATCCCTGAGCTACCACCTCACCTGGCTCTGCCTCTAGCCCTGCTACCTGCTGTGCTGTGCAAAAACCCTAAGCAGGGAGAGCAGGGATGCAACCACACGTGGTGGGAAGGGCAGCCTAGTCTCTGGATGGGCACTCCCTTGATTTCGGATGCCACACCTCTCTACCTACCTGCATCCAGTCCATGCCTACCTGTCTGGATGCTCTCGGCTGTAATGACGGCAAGCCCCTTCCTTTGCCCCTTACCCAGGGCTCTGAACCTCATGTCTCCCTCATTGCTGGAGACCCACTGCGGGTGAAACCGTCCCCTCTCCCACTACTGGTGTTCCATCCTCCCTGAAAGTCTTGCCACCTTTCCCATCTCAACACAATCATAAGAAGCAATCTCCCCAAACCCAAGTCCTTATTCACCTGTGCCCTGTTCCTCCAGCTCCTGCACAAGCTTCATGCCAGCGTTTGCCTCCCCAGCAATTCCCAGCCTGGGCATCTGGGACACGTGAGGGAGAAGGGTGTGTGCTCTGCAGGGGTTTGAACTGGAAGGAACCAGTTTGAAGCCCTGTTTGGAGTCATGGATGTGTGCTACAATCAGCTGAGCCACATCCCATGGGTCATCTGTTCAAGCTACCCCTCGAGTGTCCGATTTGAAGCCAATTTAAGGACCTACTACCTTCACCCTCATACACTTGCAAGCCTCTCTGTGACGTAGCCAGCCTGTGCTGCCTGGTCCTTCCTGAATGTTCTATGGCCCCTCCTGGCACAGGCTGGTGCCTTTTCATGTGCCACTCACACCCACGCCTCCACAGCACAGCTGGGCATCTCAGCCGGGGGGGTGCTTCCTCCAAACAGCCGTCCCTGATGCCCCCTTGCCCCAGGTTAGGCTAAGGTGTGCCTCACAGCTGCCCTCCGGAGCGCCCTCTGTCCTCCTGGTCATGAAGGTACGAGAGTCGTCTCCTTGGATTTTTAATCACCCTGTATGCGTGTGACAAGTCGGAAAATGAGTAGGGGAGACAGAAGAAGAATGGACACATCGAAGAATGGTGTTGGCAACGACCATGGAGCGCATGGACCGCCAGACTACTCGTCGGAAGCAGGCTTCATCTCTCTCGTATCTTGAGTGTGTTATCAGGAGGGAGGGACATCATGCCTCCCAGTCCAGGGAAGGCCATCAGAAAAAGAGGAAGACGCTCAACTAGAGCGGTCAACACAGTGGCTGCGAGAGTGGGCTCAAGGACCTCAGCACCGCGAGGGTGCCGCGGCCCTGGCGTGTGGGCTTCTGTTGTGCATGGGGTCCCGATGTGCTGGGGCACCTAGCAAGTCTCCTGAGGGTAGGACAGTGCCGGATGATCCCTACACACTGTGAGTGGATGGTGGGAGAACAGTGGGGCCGGCATGCAGCTGGGCAGCTCCTGGGGGCATTTGTGGGAGGCAGGGCATTATGATCAAAAGCAACACAGGAAGCTCAGCCCAGCCAGTGTTGACTCAGCGAAGGGTAGCTAGCGCTAACCAGGCTCCTCGCGTGCTGTGATCGCGCCTGGCCTTTAAGCGGGCAGAGTGGCTGGCAGAAGTAAGTCTCTCTCCACTCTGAAACTACAGTTCAGCCTCTAACCTTGAGTGGAACTGGAGTGCACACCTGTGGTTCTCTCAGCCGCGGACACTGGAGTGCACACCTGGGCACACCTGGCTGGGGCCTGCCCAGGGGAAATGCTCAGCTCAAGGTCCCACACTCTTATCACCACCAGAGGGCGCACGGGACCTAGGCTTGCCCAGGACTACCTGTGGTCCAGGAGGTTACCTGATCTGAGGTGGGCTGTGAAGCGGGAAGAACCGGCCTAGCCAA